ATATAGAAGCATTTAAATAACTAATCTCGTGATCAAAAGCGCTTGAGAATGAAAGCCCGTGGGTAGTGGATCAACGGGACTTGGGGCGGGAAAAATATGGGGTGCATACATAGCTGGAGTGATCGGTTGGGATGGAAAGTAATGCCGATTTGGTGGAAAAAGGGATGGTCGATCGATTTGCCGATTACAACGATCAATGCACGCATCACATGAATGAAAAACCTGATGAGACAGACAGACGGATAACCAGGGGACGAGAGAGAGAGAGAGGGAGAGAACAATAACAACAAATAGACCACCACGAATCCGCGAACACATACACAAAAGATGTCTGTTTAGGAAGACAATACGGGCGGGAGGAGATGGGGTTGCTGTGTGTTTGTGACAGAATAAGAAATCTGGAAATACAACTCCTGGGTATTCGTACAAGTAGAAGTGAAGCTACAGAACTCGTGCTGATCAGAGAGGGATAGACTGATCAAACTGGAACGGACTGCGATCACAGGACTTCAAACGGAGACATAGGCAGATTAGTTTAATCTTTGGTGCGAAGCAATTGTGCAATATCCGACATTTGACATGTATCGGGATCAACTGCCAGAATTCGACTGAGAGAAAGCGATAGAGAATGAAAACACAGAATAACGTGAGAAATTTGCTGAAAGCTATATAACTCTGGAGTAAAGAAATTTCTTAGTTTAATTTATTTCAGTTCTGGTTTCCAGGACCTCCTATGATTTACAATGGAAGCATAAACAAGTCTATTTCTGAGAGGATTCTGCATGCAAAGTGAGAGTATCACGTATAAGTGAAAAGTTCTTCCACCAAAGTTGTTAGAACTTTCGTACTGTACACAGTCCCTGAATTCAATGAGGTTATAAAACCTGGGTTCGAATAGTTGCCCACTGTCGGATTATATGAGATTCATGGTAGAAAAAAGAAGCTTTACAGTGCGTTCCTGTGCTGTGCGATACGTCAATACCGTGCGGTAAATGTCACAAAAATGGAATATCTCAGATGAAATCACAGGAGATTGAGGATTGTTGATGGGAAAAAAGAATAAGAAAAAGTACTGAGACAATGCAGCACAAATATTAGACCACATCTTCCAAACATATTAACATTGTTCCGTAACAAAGCTCCACACTGAGTTTCTCTAGGTTTTATTATTGACCCCAAGATGAGTTCAAGTCAAACCGCAAATGACAGGAAAATACGGAAAATTCTCTTCTTGTTAGTATTTCATTGAGGTAACATAAATACCGCTAAATAAAAGAAAATTTTATTAAAATCAATCTATCTAAAAAATCAAAAAGGCTTGACGAAAAACAGAACAGTTTTGAGTTAAGCGTAGGAAGCAACACAGAATCTTCTAAGATTACCTCATTTGGTTCAGAGCATAGTTCCGGGTCATCAGTTGAGGTTTGTGATGGCTCTTGGTCTCCTTGCGACTGTAACTGTTGTGCCTGTGCGCCGGGAAGGTCTCGTCTGGGTTGGATATTATCTGTTAATCGAGAACATTCGAGTGAATGAACCGAAGTGTTGTCCACCGGTTCATTACTGGCCGATGTAACACAGGAAGTACCGACGAGCGTGGGAGACATAGGGACCGGACTATCTTCATCCGCACCGTTCAGGGCCGGATCACTGAGCGAGCCGTGAATACTGGAAAGGCTAAGTGAAGAGGAGCTAGAAAGGTTTCCGGCCCGACTGGTACTGCCCAAGCCCAAGACTGGTGTGTAGGAAGTGCGTAGATCTTCACCCGGTAAATGTGAGTCAAGTAGAACTTCGAGGAAGTTTACAAACAGCTGAGCAGCATCTGCATTCTGATTTGCCTGTAATCGTGTAAACGGAGACAGTGGGAATATTGAAGGGAAGAAGGGAATGTGAGCAACATTTTTGATCGAATAGAGTTGAACGAATGAACTAAGAACAGGTTTTTGCATACCTAAGTTTTCACCAAGTATATGATCACTTGACCAAGGGCCAAAAATAATGTCAGGATAAACACGAATAAATATGCGATGTCCTTCGGGGTTCAAATAAACAAAAAATAACAGGACAAACGGTGTATTTTAAATTGTGGATGCGAAGCCAACCTTAGGTGATGACCTGTGTGGCCTAGTGGTTAGAATTCTTATCAGTCTGAATATGAGCACTCGAAAAATCAGTGGATCAGTTCCGTTTTCGGTTCATGTAACCCTTAACAATTTGCTTTCGTTTATTGGTTTGGATTATCACCTTTCGACTCCCCAGTTGGAAGGTCACTGAATAACTGAAAGAAGTAAAAGCGGAGAGTAGCATCGAGACACCAAGGTACAGAGTACAGGTAAACTATAAAGGTGCAAAATTGAGCAGATGTAAGAGACCATTGCTTACAATATTCATTCATATCACTGTATGCAGCAATTGATCACGAGGTTTCCGACCGGTAGCCCTAAAGAGACCTGTTTGATCAAATTTTTCATTCCCGCATGTCACTATTTATTTTGGCTACCCATAACCTTCATCCACATAATACCTACCCTGAGGAGGTTTATACGGTAATTTGCGTGGTATACCCTCCCAGTTATCACACTATACAGATGACGCACTTGCGTTGGAGTGTGACCATGAAAACATAATATTTGTTTTCCAATCACGGCATTGCCTACTCGGTTGTCTCACCATAATCAGCGAATTAATACCACAATTTTTATTAGATGAATTTCGCCGGATAAAAACCATAAGAAGCACGGAATGAAAAGCTCCGAGGAACTGTACAACTGTTTTGACCTACTTGTGTCTATACAGCAGTGCGAATTCATAAAATATGCAGAGGACCGCGGACCCGGGACCTCACAGGTGGAATGCAAGCGCACAACCATTTGACCACCGGGCAACTGATCAGACCATTTCTAATTTTGTTCAAACACGTTACAGCACAAACACTCTTTGAAGGCTTATGACACCCAAGTCACCCCAGCTCTAGCCTCCTGGGTTATGCCTTGGTTGAAAACATTCCGAAAATGAGTATTTGCTACATGAAAGTATCGGGGGCTTTGATTGGATTACACGATGAATTTCGTAGAGTAAGGAGCAAAATTAGTCGGTAGTATGCATGAATTCTACTTGTGAGACACCGTATTCGAAACAGTTGATTCGATGGATTCGCTAAGCTGTTGAGACCCAACCTAGTGGAAACAGCTGTCTGGGGCATCCTAGCGTTTCAGTTCACTCTTCCTTTGGTCGAAAAATTTCACCATGCAATCAAATTTAACCCTCATTTTATCTCATCTATCATCACAATTTTAACATGTGAAATAACGGTGTAGTGATTTAGAGACCTTCCGATGGTGGTTACTAGCTTGATAATAGTGCATAAGAAAAGAAACAGTAAATTCATTTCCACACAAAAAACTACAATACTTGTGATGAAAAATGCTAGAAAAATATGACTTGCAAATTCGACCGTAGAATTCATTGATAACAACTCGCCTACTAGCAATTTCTAGAACGGGAAATGAGATATTTTTGGTGAAATTTGCATAAAATTCAGTATGGCGCTTCTTAGGAAATTTTCCTCACCCACTTCTATACCATTTATGGTGAAGAACCAAAATTCACCTGCAGTGCCAGCAGGCCTACATATATCGGGACGACTCAGTCTAAAGAGAAACCTTGAGATAAACAGGTCAAAAGCGAACGAAAAGTAAAATAAACAGTACAGTACAGATAACATGAAGAGAATCTGAACAAAACATTACCACTCGACCGGGCATAATAAAAACAACAACAAAGCAATTTTCAAAACACCATCAAAGATTTATCGAGAAACTAGAAAGGATAAAATTATGCTTACTTTTGAGAAATGTCCTGAAAATCGCCAGAGACCTCCAAAACCGATACCTTGTGAAGAAATCACGGACGTTAGATTAGAGTGTAGACTAGACAATGAACGTTATTTGCAATTAGATATGAGAATTGGTTACCATGATAGAGAAGGCTAAAAAAAGACAGGTTTAAAAACTCCAAACGATCTAGATACACTGATGGTAAATACCGAAACAGATATTCCGACCGAGTTAGTCGGATTCTATACATTAAAGTGGATTGAATCTACCGCACGAAATGCTTTTGGTGCTCATTGTTTCTTGAGCAATAGACGTTGGGGTATATTCAAGTTTACCAGGTAGTGGTCTTCCTTTATTCTTTCTGGTCAAGGGGAACTCTAAAAGCGTTTCGCATTCCTCAGGCACGCATGTATTCGGGATTAAAATTGATTTTACCCGGAAAAAGTTTAAATATATGCATGAGCGCAATCCAGTGATGCGGAAACAGGAAATCTCACGTGCAAGCGAGAAACAAAACGATACAGTTAACCACTGATATATTTCCAAACACGATCGCTAATACTCTTGAGTTGACGTAAGATCGTTTGGTGGTTTTAAACCAAAAAGCAAGGTGCAAGTATCCCCACTCCTACCAAAAAACAAAAACTGAAAATGGCAGTTACTTGATTTCTCCACAACTCTTCCTTTTCGTTTCCCGAAAAACTCAAAACTCAGTCGACTTTACATTTTCAGTTTCAAATATTTGATAGTATCTTTTTTAACTGATGTGTCTTAATAGTTTGCTATATATGTTCAAGTGACTCCTGAGATTACAATTATTTGAAACTGCAAGAAGAACAGACCTGTATATACGTAATATTCCACCCAAGTGCCCTATCCAATAGCTGACAGTTAACTACAGACAAGCTAGGATGCTCCCTCCGATGCGAGCGACCAAGTTTAGTAGTCAAAGTTTTCCTATATTTGTTCTCTTGATATGGTCATTCTTTAGCTATATTTTAGGGTTTTTTTCGCCTCACGCGTTTCTACCGTCATTGGCGATACTCAAACAGGCGTGCCAGTGTTTTGAGTGTGTCTGAACCGTATTCTACGGTCAAATTCATCAGTGTCGATTTGATTGTACAGCCTGCTCTACATTTTGCTATCAATAAAACAGCCTCCAAAACAACAGAAAGTCCCCGATTCATATAGGGCTAGATAAACCATCAAATTAAGCACACCCCTTAAACCCTAACGGATAAGCATGTTTCACAAAAGAATTAAAATCGTTCACCGAATACCCTGGTATTAGCGGCGATTTTACTCGGCGAATTCAGAGATCGTGGAATGTGCAGTTGTAACCGCGGCGGAATTCGACTGACCCGTAAAACCCATCGAAAGTTTTACATTGCTACCGCAAACAGTACCTAGAGAAACTGCTGTATGAGCCATCATTCAGCTGGTTCAGATTATACTGGTTGAGTATAAATCGGTTCAGCATCTACTCAATCAGGGAAAATTCAGTGACACGAGTCTTATACGAGAACAAGTCAGACTCCAGAATGAGGAATAGTTTCGTCGCATTAAATAAATAGCATACAAAAGAAATAAATTCCTTGGTGGATTTTGACTGAATCTTCCTCACCAGGTGATAAAATCACATCACAGAATTGATCATTTTCATCTCATGGTTGTTTAAACTTACTCTGCAGATAATGAAGTTGTTGAACGGAGGTTTCACCACTGGAAATCATGTTCTGAATGATGCTTTGCACAGCACTGAGAATTTTCTGATCATGACAATGTGTGAGGACATAATTGATTTTGGAATCCAGTAGACTGTGTCTGAAGTGACATAAGTGAACAGAGCGGTAAAAAGTTTACTGTTATCACACTCTTTCATACGATTATAAGCATTGGAATTTCATGAAAGACTAGTACTTTTGGAGACAATGGCATGCTTAAAAAGAATTCATGCTTGAAGAACAAAAATATCATGAATTGAAAAAAGCTATCGTCAGAAAGGGAACAACGGTTCACTGTTACTAAATAATATCAATCTGCCACTTAGCTTTTGTCTGACAAACAACACAAAACACTATAAGTTTCTACTAGTCTCTGAAAGCTTCAGAGGGGCCAGGAGTGGGTGTCTTGGGTTGTGGCTGGTCACCCCCTCTCTTGCTTTTATATTTTAGGGTATCTCAAATAGCCTCTACTGAGGAAGCTTTACTTATTGTTATGTCGTGGGGGAGGTGTTTTCCCACTAAAGTGAGGGGACGAAAAGCCAATATCTGGGGCTAAATAACCCGGTCGGTGAACCACTGGCAGTTCACCTAGGAGAGTTGGCTAAAAACCCTGATTCCAAACCAACCAAGAAGAGGCGTACGTACCAAGTACACCTTGTTGATCGTGGTAGTAGTCATTAGCTTGTTTGAGTATTGAGGTATATTGGGCATTACGGGCGTCCGAAGGACAAATGATCCGATGAACCGGATATCGGGCCCCAAATGGATTGCAGTTTATGCACACCGCCCACTGCCTTGCGTTTCAGGCTTTGGTTAGCCGAAGGCTCCGGTTGTGAATTCTAAAAGCTGGTTTGAAAGATAATAATATATAATATAGTTTACCAATGTAATTGTGATTTCTGTGAGAGGTAGAGGCCTTCGAGCCAACATAGATATAGAAGAAACAGATGCACATGAGTTGCGCCGTGGGGGTGGGGATCTACTAATCATTCACACTTACATAACAGGGAACACTCGGGGAAATACCATAGATGCATCAGCCAGGAATTCGTACAGCACACGTGATTCGTTTTCGTCGGTCGTGTAGCGAACCAAAGTGGTCTACAATGGTAAAGGCAAGAGAATGGTGAAACACAGTATAAGATAATTCGAAAGAAATTAGCAGAATCAGAAATAGAGTACTGAAATCCCTGTAGAAACGAAATTAAGATACTAGAAGCTACTTAGAAAAATTTCACATTATGAAAAATTAGAGGGACAAAACGATGAAGTGTCCGCTAGGGCACACAAGAGCCAATCTAAAAATATACAAAAGTTCTTGACGGGATCTAAAGGCACCAAAATCAGTGTTAGAAAAACTCGTAAAATTGTGAAATGGTATAATGAATTCGTTATTATTATTACTTGAACCGAAATAATTTGGAGTTTTTTAGAAAAAAGCAGCATTAGTTGCCCTCCATATTCCGTGGATGAAATTATATGATAGCTGTTCTTGCCTTTGCGAGACCTGAGCACAGAATTTAAAGGGAAACGGAATGAACCGAAATTCTCCCCGCACAACGCCTGAACGTCAGCATGCAGTGCGTCGCATCACACGAAGTACCGATGAAAATAAGTAGAAAAGCATAAGCAATACTAACAGTTGATATAAATTAAAATATTGAACTAAATTTGACAAGTGCAACAACCGCAGTTTTTATGAATCCACAGAACAGCATGGCCCGCACATATGAGTAACACTAAACAGTGATTTTCTAGTGATATACCGTTAAGCTCTTTTGTTTTCTTTCTAGTACAAGGATGGTTTTCTTTTCCTTCGACTGTTATCTCACTAGCAATTGTCCATCAAAAGAAAACGGCTGCATTTTTGGTACTGATTCAGTTGCAGCAATTGAACCGAGACCTTTACATATCACCCACCGTCGTACCTTGCTTGTCTGAAGAATGCTTGCTAACATAAGAATGGCAAAGAAATCGGTGAATAGATTGCGGCTATCACACCACTTCGAAACAACATACTCAGTCAGAGGATAACTGCATCTTAGTTTCCTTTCAAAAGCTCCCAGAAATGGCTACATACGAAAACATTTTCCACGGTGTTTCGGCCACAGCTGAACTTGGCACCTTTCTAACCATATTTGGCGATTACAGCTTACAACATTCGCTTATTAGTGAAGTAAAACTATCTAAATATTCCAGATCACGTCTTTAGTTTCCATCCTCAGAAGTGTTATCCGTATAGATTCCTGTCGAATCAGAACCCACGATGGCATCGCAAACGGAATGAAAACAGAGGAGTGCGTTTTCAGATGAGTCATTGGTTACCAACAGCAAAACTGGTCTGTTCAATCGACAGTCGTGTCCATATGCCTCCATTTCACAGGGTGCTTTTCTAACCCCAACCCACCTAACACAGCCGAAATTCCGCATGGTTAATGATGAAAACGTCGTAAGTAAAATGACACGTTATCGGTTCTGGTGGGAAGCCCCGTCACCGGAGAAAAACGTGATCGAGTCGAAATTCGAATTCGTACCATAGGGTAACCAGAAAAGATCCGAGCTTAGGTTTCTAGTTTGAGTGTGGACAGATCAGATAACATAAACCACGATCATTATCCAGGCAATCATCTCGTCAGTCTGATCAGAAAGTTTATAGAAGATAATGCGGTTGATGAATTAAAGAAATTTGAGGGAAGCACACAAAATCCTATTGTCAGGAAAAATCAAGAGGCTTCAATGAGCTGCTATGAAGGGCAGGAATGTTATTAAGTTTTCGGTACAAGCCAGTGTCTCCAAGGGCACCCTCATCATTCTCTTGTTAGAGAATAGAATCCAGTGAAACTTTTGAGGAGACATTTGTCTAAAGTGAACTTGAAGACTATTCCGCACAGTCCAGTCAAGCGTTCTCACCACTTATTGGCCCAGTGTTCCACCAAGCAAATGATAAGCAGTATATTTATGTGCTTGTGGTATACGATACTTCCTAAGTATGGTCGAAGGACTGAACAAGCATATGTAAAAACATTATCTTCCGGTTTTTCGCAAAGGAATGGTGAAATGCATACATAACATGGGAATTCTCGTAGCCAGTCGATATTCCGAGAACACACTATATGCATTTCAGCTGATCTCATGAAATTTTTGTGAAGAAAGTTGGTATCGTAATCATAGGTAAGGCGATTGCCGTCGGCAGACTAAATACAAAACTACGTAAGTAAGGATAATTCAGGCAAAGAATGGACTAATGGGCTCAGACTCGATTAGGTTTTCCACAGTGTGCTCAGCAAGAAACCAAACGGAACTATGAGATGCCAGCAAAAGATTAGCTTTGTGCGCAAAGGTCTTTCCTGCTCGAAAGCGGAAACACTATACAGAGCTTTTTTAATGTCGCTAGCCTTTTGTGCAGGTGTGTGATAAATGATTACGTAATGGAGTGGCACACTTTCGATTCCATATACCACCCCAGCAACAGGATAATATGATGTAATCGATCACGGTTCCAGTGAAAAATTTCGTTTTCCGATCTCAAAGGGACACTTGCTAATCTGTGCTAAACATTCCACACTACCCGTTCACAGAGCTTGGAACTTTGCTTACCAAAGTTTCATCACCAACTAGCCAAACAAAACGTGTATGCACGAAACAAAAATGAATATCTCAACATAGGTGCGTCTCAGACAAAAAAATAAAGTGATGATAGTCGACGTCAATAATCCTGGATTTTGAGACTAAAATGATCATCCATTGTGGGAATAAAAGTTAATTAGGCAACCCAGCTGCGATTTGTTCTGTGATCTTTTGTAACTTATGTACAATTATATACCTTCGGGTGGCTTGTATATTATCCACATCAAATTTAACCTGTTATACCAGATGTACAGTCTTTCATAGAACAAAATTAAGAGGCAAAATGCACGTAAAAGTCAATTATCTTAATCATGCTTGCACTCAATAGCGAACAAAAGAACTTTGAAAATAGTTTCACTCGAAAACAACATGACTCATATTCCAAAATCACAATGGAAAAGGAAGCAGAGAGCATGGGAATAGAAGAGTGCGATAAATGGAAAACGTACCAGAACAGCAATTGTTAATGCCTGTGTGGCCTCATCTACCAGTACCTCAGGGTCCAAAAGGATTTGACTACTTGGAAGTATATCATGCGTTTTCTGCTGCGGTTGTGACGATGGGGATGAGGATGGTTCGATGTCAGACCCTGGTTTCCCTGGCAAATTTAGCATCGGTCCAGTGCTTTGAGCTTCGTCCACTGTCGATACAGGACCACTAAGGACAGTCGCCGTGGTGGTTGCGGCTACTGTAATCATAGTGGCATTGGAGTTAGATGAAGAGCCCGAATTGGCTCCGGTCACTGATAGCAGTGTTGAAGATTTATCTCCAGATGATGATACAGTAGAGGTGGCCACCGTGTTTGAAGAGCAACAGTCGATCGACTTAGATCGTGAACCCTCGGTGGTACCCAATAATCCAGATTGCGGTTGGACTTGTGATCGAGCCTGTGTGGCGTGAGGCTATAAATGCGATCATCAGAAGTAAAATGGATTTAGTCATTTAAGCAACATTTCTTGGCCAGACAATCACAGAAAGCCGACCATTCGCTCAAGAACCATAGAAGATTATTCATTTATATTTCATAAATACAGCTTTGAACATCAAGCGATATGAAGCATAGAAAAACAATGAGCAAACAGAAACCTCAAAAGCGACCATTTATGAAGACAGTGATAAGAAACCACTGCCTTTTGCAGGAAAACCAACAGACCATTTTAAAATTTAAAATTCACAGTTTGATTTTATTAAAAAAAAACAAGGAATTCGCAAACAAATTGCTAGCCAACAATTAAACTTGCCGAAAGCTATCTGCTATCAACAACTGAGAATCTGAAATAAATTTTTCCTCCTTGTCGAAAATGAAAACAAAATAAACCAAATATTAAGTCACAAATTGAAATGTAGAATTTCGCAGTGGTCAATTACCGCACAAATACTATAGATAAATATATTTAACCGATTTTTTGTGATAAATATTTTACTCATTCAAAACAGTCGTAACCCGAACTTCTTCAACGTGGGTCACAATGCATTTAACCAAAAAACAAAACCAGGAAAGGAAACTCAGGAAGAGCTTACCACATCTCCGGTTGCAGTCATTCCGCGACCAAAGCCCGATCGAACTGACTGATTTTGATAGTCGAAGGAAGAACCCAAGGATCGATCCCAATTCGGGATGTTCGATGACCAGTTCAAATTGCTTACATTTTCAGGTCGTGCGCGAGCAAATCGACCGGTCAGAACGTTTGGATTCATGGCGTTAGGTAATAGCGCACGAAGAAATCCACTGACGGCAGCACCGGAACGCTGAGCACCATGGGCAAGGCGACCGGTTTGGCCGGGAAGTAAGACATCCTGCAGGCTCTCCGTGGAACCACACCAATCTCCACTGGCAGTTGTAGAAACGCCTTTAGATGGTGGTCCACCAACAGCAGTATTGACGCACATCGCAGAAGGCTGCATGTTGAATGAATGCTGCCCAGTATGGGGTTGTTCACTCGGTCCAGCTAGCGTACCCGGAACACGAAACTTGAGACGACAGCGCTTGCGTACTTCATCAGACACCGGCAGCAATGCAGCCAAATAGGCTACACTATCTTTTGTCACTTGGTATTTGTCACTGAGGTTGCATAAATTTGGGTTTTGTTAGATAATAGGTACAGTTATAAGTCAAATAATCATTAGAGACACTGAGTAATATAGCCGAGTATCGTAAACAGTGATGTTCGTGTATCTTCTCAATTTCTTTGGAACATTGGTCTTTATGGATTTTCTAT